CCTTCCAGTCCTGAAACCCAGACTCTGTGGGGTTTTCCCCTATGGGGCAGCTTGGAAACTGGAAGCTTCGTGCTGCAATGTTCTGTCGAGCCCAATCATAGACATCCCCCCCACCCCACTGTTCCAATGAGTAGCAATGCCCCTTAAGCCCTACAGCCCTGAAACTTGTAAGCCACAAACACCTGAACACCTAAACCCTTAACCCTACCTAAACTCGTCTTGGCACACCCTCAACGGGAAGCGTGTCCTAAGAGGCGCAACAGCCTCCACGATGCAGCTGTTACGACACCGCAGACAGTGGGAGGGCGCTTTTTTCGCTATTGATATTCGTTACTTTGCCATATGTTTGTTGTTTACATTGCTTTGCTGCAGTAAACATTTGGGAGAAAAGACGAAAAAGGCAGCCGCACCACAATCCACATTTGCTGAGACTTCTCCAGTACTGGTATGCGTGTGGGGTTTAGAGTGTAGTGTAGGGTTTGCTTGTTGTTGGAGCAGCGCCCTCGTCATTCTTTCCGACAAAGTCCCTCCCTCTGCTCTCGACACGAGAGCTCCATGTGTACAATATGCACAGTGTATACTTGAGGACATGAAGAATATCAGGACGCTTCACGAGTGAATGACCTGCACGCAATATTGTGGATGATGGAGCCTCTCTCTCGCAGTTTTGCCGCACTTCTTACTGTTAAGTTTCACTTCGCCCGTTCTTAACATAGACAAAGATTCGCCTTCAATAGGCATTTGATCCTCTGTGTGTTTCAGATGACATATGAACGAGTTCCAAATATTCTGCTTATATAGCCCAGCAGGGAAGATCTTAGTCTTAGACGTGCGATTGCTCGGGGTTCTCTTCGTGATGCACAGAACCCACTGTCGCCACAGAACGCCTTCTACTCCTAACCAAGTATCCAAGGGCCCCTCGTACTACAAAACGAAGTGCCATGTTTGCAAGTTGCAAATATGAAATGAGTGAGCTTGCCAATATTTCTTTGGTTCGTTCTGGGAAACATACGACATTGAATCAAGTGTTTTGAGACAGAGCCTTAGGCATTCCGCGACACTTCATGATACTCCCTAAACCCCCAAACCCTGCCGCCAGGTTCCCGCACACACTCGATGGCTGAGTCTGGATTTCATGCGCATCGTGACAGCGCTGAATGCCCGGCACCTGTTCCAGACCTTTTGGGGGGAGTTTGGGTTTTGGATAGAAGAGGTGATTTGGCCATCCGGGTTTTGCATGTTCTTGGTACGGCCGCGTCGCTCGACGCATAGGAGAAGCGTCAGCCAAGCTGACATCTCCAGAGCCTGCTTTGCTAGTGGTGAGGGTTTGGACTCATCTACTGTTTGCTTAAGAAACCCCCGACCCCAAAAAACATTCTTCCCTATAAGGTAACAAGGAGATTTTTTTTTTGGGGGGGGGGCTCTAGAGCAAATAATTTTTAAATTAGGGTTGATCTAACTTGTGTGGACTCCCTACTCATTGGCCCCACTTCGGCGATTGGCCCGAGCAGGAGTCGACCCCTTGAAGCCTTTTCTACATCCCCCTTGGGCATTTGTTTTCATTTTTGTTTTTATAGAAACCAAGAGGATATTTAAAATAGTATTTTTATTAAGGTTCCAAGGGGAGTATAGTTTTAAGCGAACCCAAGCCCGCTGACTGAGCCGCCGATACTTGCGATCCCTAAACGTCCACCCCCACATTTCCGCTCTTTGCCTCTGTTTCAGTCCTTCCTGGCCCTGCGCAAGCTGTTCCGAAACGAGGCCGTTCCAGGGACCACGCAGGAAAACCCGAAGACGCAACAACCCTAAAGCCCTAAACCGCCTGTTCCCTGGCTCGCGGTAAGTGTCGGGACAAGGAGGGTGGGTGTAGCATGAGGAAGCAGCATCAACGCAAGCCAAGGCCCACAGCAGCCAAATCCGGAACGTCGCCTATGGGGCTAAGGGCTAAGGGTTTGGGCTTGGGTCCGGCGCCTTGGGTACAGTATCCTTGGGTTGTCCATAATGTACAGTTGCATCTGAAATCCTGCTTGTGTTGCAACCACCCAACCCTAAAGCTCTAGAACCATAAGCCCTCTGCACCAGCAAGCACGCAAGCTCATTCACTTTGGAGAGAAGTTCCCTTAAATCGCAGTCCCTTTAAGCATCCTTTGGGGGGTCTATGTTCAGGGTGCCCGAAAAAGCGACCATCATTTTGAAAGCTGCCTAAATTGTACCTTTGCTCCTGGCTCCCGCTGTGGCTACCTCTCAGCCTAAGCCCTGCAACAAGGCCTAGAAACCCTACAACCCCAGAAACCCTGTCCATCAGCCCAGAAAAATGCAATTCACCCTAAACCCTAAACCCTGAACCCTAAACCCTAAACCCTAAACCCTAGCAGTCTCAAAGTCTGATTAAGCCGAAGCCCTGTGCCCCAAGCACCGCTCACCTCCTGGTTCTTAGTCGGAAATGAGGGAATGAAGGCCCTTTGTATACCCTTTAAGGGATTACATAGGGCCCTCATTCCCTCATTGCCTTCTGAGAACCACCCTAAACCCTAAACTCTAAACCCTAAACCCTAAACCCTGAACCCTGAACCCTGAACCCGGAACCCTGAACCCTAAATCCTAAACCCTAACCCTAAACCCTAAACCCTCAACCCTAAACCCTAAACAGTTAAACTCGACACCTGGGATCCTCTGCGAAGGCGGCGAGCCAAACTTTAATCGGCCGGGTCGTCGTCGCCATCTTGCGAGTCATCGTGTGGCGCACCCAGAGCTTCCAGGTTTTGGTGGGTTTAGGCGTTTAGGTGTTTAGGTGTTTAGGGGTTTAGGGGTTTAGGGGTTTAGGGGTTTAGGGGTTTAGGGGTTTAGGGGTTTAGGGGTTTAGGGGTTTAGGGGTTTAGGGGTTTAGGGCCTACAGGGTTTAGGGTTTAGGGTTGAGGGTTCAGGGCCTTAAAGCCATGGGATGTGCGGAGTAGCTCTTCGGTCTAGCGCTAAAAGTATGGGCCCCCAAATGTAAACCTTGCCTTTTGTGGTCCTCACACACAATACCCTACAACTCTACAACCCTCAACTCTTCGCACCAAACCCTACTTACTAGCAACCTTAAGCCTTACACCACTCTTACACACTAAACCGGAAGCCCTGAGCCCTAACCTTACGCCTCTAAATTCCCACCAGGCCGTACATACCCGTTTCCAGGGTGCCTAGACCCTGAGCTACACCGGCCAGCCATTCACGCCCTGGGGGGGGGGGGGGAAAAGGAAGTTCCTATGTTAGGACTGCAGACGTGTGTTTCTCTGTTCGATCGCAAGCTGTCTCAAACACGAGCTGGGTTAGATGTCAGTGCCTCGCGCAGGAATCAACCTTAGGGTTAGCAGGGCTAGTCGGATATTTGGATGCCAATGGTGATTCTCTTAGTCAGATGCCTAAATCATAAATCATCAGGCCAGAATCCAGAAATGTCGTGAAGCTTCTGAGCTACATGTGCATCTCTGCCAGTCCAAGCATCACATCCTGGCCGCAGCACTGCCACTGAGGCTGTGTATTTGCATGGGCGGGGCAATCTATGCCGCAGCCTTGCAGTGCACACATCTCTGAGTTGATGCCTATATCCCGATATATCCCCCTTGTCAATTGTTTTATATTATTTTTGTTTATATAAAACCCAAGAGGATATCTAAAATATTATGTTGAATAAGGTTCTAGGGGGCCTATAGATGCATGTGTACGCAGCTGTGGAATGGTTGGGCCACCTCATGCAGGGCTTAGGGAGCCGGAGGCTGTGTTGCTAGGCCCTCCATGTTTTGCATCGAATCTCCCTGTTCGTCTCCTCATCTTCTGTCCTAGAGCAGAAGGATCCCAGATTCCCAGGCACTGGGCCTTCCAGGCCTTGGGGAAGTTGTTTAAACCTTGCAAGGTTTAGGGTTTGGTGGTTTATGGGCTTAGCAATTTAGGCGTTTAGGGGTTTAGCGGTTTTAAGGGCTTTCGGTTGAGGTCCCAGTGCTTAGTAATCTTGAACCGAGGTCCTAGAAGTGCTCGGGGAAATACCTCGCTTCGAAGACAAGCTCGACGCTTAGTGGAAGCTCTTGGAGTAAACCCTAAACCCTAAACCCTAAACCCTAAACCCTAAACCCTAAACCCTAAGCCACGTGTTTTGGTTCTTGGGGTTCGGGGCTGTTGGGGCCAAGGAGGCTCAGCGTTGGGGGTCCAGGGTGGGTGGTTTGGGGCTTTGTGCAGAGGCAAGTTGGTGTTAGGGGTTTAGGGTTCAGGGTGTAGCGAAATCAGAAGCTGTTTTTCTTTTTGGTCTAGCAGAGGGGGGGTGGTGCGGGGGGGGCTCGGAGGGCAATGCTGACCCCTGAACTCCTCGGCGTGCAGCTCCTTTGAGGGTGACTAGGGGGTCGTTCGGGGCAAAAGCGCCAGAACCAAAACTACAGACTTTTCCCGGCGGCGTGCTCCTAGTTCAGTGTATGCCAAAAATGCAACACATGAGAGCAGATTTGCACCCAAGAATAAGGGCACGCAACACAGCCTGACACAAGCAGCTCCTAAACCCTAAACCCTAAACCCTAAACCCTAAACCCTAAACCCTAAACCCTAAACCCTAAACCCTAAACCCTAAACCCCACAAGGTTTGTGCAGACCGGCATGGGGGACCTCTCCTTCTTCCAGATGTGCTACTGGACCGGGCAAGTGGCTGTGCTTGCCCGCGAACTTTTTTTTTGGCCAGAGGGTCTGGGGATCCAAAATCAAAGCCCTAAACCCTAAACCCTAAACCTAAACCCTAAACCCTAAACCTACCCCTTACTGTAAACCCAAAATGCTAAAACCCCAGCACCTCACGCCCTTAACCCCCTAAACTCGTCAAACACACAACCCCAGCCCACAGCTTGATCATAAACCGCTGGTAGATGTACCTTAATCGGATTCTTGCGTAGCCCACAAGCAAGTAGGTTTGGGGTTCTTAAGGTAGAGTCATTTCTTCGCGGGAGGGGAGGAGGTTGCTTGGCTTAGCACTCCCCACAATGGCTCCGATGAACCCTCAATCAGCGGATCAGGATCGTCACGACCATCTCTACCGTGGGCTACGGCGTGGCCCGCCTTGAAGTGAGGGGGGTTTAGGATCGCTGACCTGCAAAGGAAGTCTCTCTCTCTCTCTCTCTCTCTCTAGCTGTTCATCCCTCTGACTGCAAGTTTACATGGCAACTGCCACTCCTCATCTGGATTTCACAGTCAGGAGAAGCCAGGTGCTCACACTACGAATGGCACACATGTTTTTGTTGGAAGCCCCAAAGCTACGCTGAGCGTCAAGCAAGCGGCTGCACTCGGTTGGAGAATCCGAGGATTTCTCGCCGACCACCATACCAGCCAGACTTGCCCGCGCCTTGCAAGCCCGGGCACGCTACCGGTATCAGATCACTGGTTGGGGATTAGGTAATCAGTGATCAATAAAAGATGTTTATGGTCCAGTCCATAACCTTAACAAGGATTAGGTTAGGATAGGGTCCAGTAGATGATCCAATTGTTTGGGTTCGCGAAGGTTTAAGTGGCTTGTGACCTTAGATGCCGTACTTGCAGGGCTTATGTCTTTGCTAGTCGTTGCTTCTTCCTCGAATATGGTTGTGCATGCTCGACGATAGAGGATACTCTGGCCGCATATGTGGAAAACGGACTTTGAGCCCCACGTTTTCCCCCCAAGGCAAGTCATGACACAGCAGAACCTGCGATCCGGGAACTGGGGGTGGGGAAGGGGGTTGAGCTTAATTCATGGGTCAGTCTTGCCCTAAGCCCCCAAGCCAGAATCGCTTTCCTGTTGACAAGCCTATCAACTACCGTGGGGAGGGGGGTTCAAAATAGGGTTACACTCTTTAAAAGGGTTTCTGCCACCACGGCTACGGTATGTTTTTTTTTATTAGGGGGGGGGGGGGCGGGGGCTAAACGGGCCGGCCCTTCTTTTCCATTTTTTGGTCGGAAAGACCAAACTCCCCCAGGCCATCGTGTTCTTCATCTTCGGCGGAGTCATTTTCTTCGGGCCGCCCGCCACAAGCTAAACCCCAGAGCACTCTAACCCTACAACCCTACAACCCTACAACCCTAAACCCTAACCCCCAACCCCTAACCCTAAACCCTAAACTGGTTTAGGACTTGGGGTTTGGGAGTCTGGGCCTGGGACTCTTCGAAGCCCTAACATTCTCTTAAGCCCCCTTAAGCTCTTGAAAGTCAAACTCATTCGCGAACTGCATGAGCTACTGTAGAGGGTTTACGTTTAGAGTTTAGGGATTAGGATAATTTTTCCGACCCCTACTTGTTGGAGGTTCATGGGTCGGAATAGCCTACTGTTTAGCAGGTTATTGCTACAAACCTCACAGGATACTTAGGCAACGTACCAAAACAATAGGTTTTTGGGGTTTCGTGGGGGGGGGGGGGGGGGGGGGGGGGGGGGAGGAATAAACAGCGACCCCTGTTCATTCCCAGGATGCTGGGTAACCAGCCCTGAACACCATGCCATAAACCCGAAACCCCAGAGCACCCTAAACCCTAAACCCCAAACCCTAAACCCCAAACCCCTGACCCAAAGGACCGAAACAGCGTCCTTTGTCGACCTGCTAGATGAGCACAGCAACTCACCTGGCTTTGTTTTGCCTTCTGCGTAGTAGTTCCTTAGGGTTTAGGGTTTAGGGTTTAGGGTTCCGGGCTTTCGTCGGGCTTATAGGGCTTTGGGCTTTCGGCCTTGGGGGGCTTGGGGCTCGGGAGTTAGGTTTGATGACTCCATGCGACACGAAAGCCCAAACCCTGAACTCGCAAGCATGGCAGCCATGGGAGCTGGCGCAAGGAGTCGGTCCATCTCTGTGTTGGATGGAGGGCTCTTTGGGTATTACTTTGAGCTATCGTCCAAAACCCTAACCCCAAACCCCCAACCCCTGAGCCCCCTCCTCTCGAAGAAACGTGCTGAGGCAAGGGCTTGGGGAGCTACCACAACACCTCCAGGTCCGCGGAGTCAGTGCTTCTAAGAGGGTTCGAGTGTTGAGGTTCTCGCCAAGGGTCATCAGATCTTCGCGACTCTGCAGAGCCGCTTTTCAGTAGAACAAGAATCGCAGGCACATCCCTCAGTGCGTCGATGTACCTCAAAAAATATACTTCGGGCCCCACAGTAACTACACCGAAACTACTCGTACTGCGAAAGGCGAAAACGCCTTCGCCTGATCTCCCAAGAAAGCCAGTCGTGGGAGTCCATGTTAACAGTCTACCACGATTGGTACCTTTTTTGGACTGACTGGCGAACTGCCCAGAAGTACTTGCGAACTGCCGTTGCAGCCAATATGTGCAGATCAAAAGCAAAAGGGTTCCTAGGCACTCCAGCCGCCGGAGCAGTGGCCCTCAAGGTTGGATTTTAACATGTCGTATATACTCACCTAAACTTCACAGACCTAAACCCGCAGAAGGAGGTCCTTGGGAATTTTTCGGGCAGGCTATTAGCTGCCAAGGTCCGCGCGGCACATCCTTGTGACAGGCCCGGGACCCACGGCAAATCAGGGATTCAGTGATGGATGGTGTGGGGACGCTGTATTGTTATGTTACAATGATACTAATCACTTAAAATAGTATTCTTTCAATCGTAATGTTGGACACTTAGGGACACAGCTCTAGGGTTTCGCTGATGTTGGCATCCCCCCCCGCCCCCCTCAGGGCCCTTTATGAATGATTAATGAGATAAGAAAGGCAGGCTTCAAATTTCAGGCTTGGTTTAGACACCCACAACGCTTGACAAAGTCTAAAGCTCAACCGGCAAGTTGATTTTGTGGAGGACCCCACCGGACACCCCCCCCCCCCCCCCCCCAAAAAAAAAAAAGTCCGAAAATCCTATTTGATGCAAAGTTTGACTTCATGGGGGTCATTTTGAACTCCCGGCAGTGAAACGCTGACCACCTTGAGTGTGGTTGTGCATCCTGGGGTCTGTATTCTGTCCCCATGGAGACCTGCAGCCTGACCCAGCTGTTTGCCAAGGTGGCGGCGCTCACAAGTTCTCTTCCCTCATGGACTGCCCCTTGAGTCCTTGCATGGGCGCAATGGTTCACCCCGTTGCTTGTAGTGCTTGGAGCCCTATGCAGAGCAATGAGCAAGTTTGCATTGTTACACTATATTCACTTGGGCAAACCAGACCAGGAGATTCGTAGGGCTGAAATCGCGGTGAGGAACAGTAGGGCGGGAACCCGCAGACGTTTCCAGGTTTCGGGCTCCATATGGGCGAGCTTTAAAAGCCTTCATCGACAACGCCCAGTGTTAAAACTTCGACAAATCTCTCAGACCGCCCCACAGACCGGTTTTCAGGTGTCGGCGCCCGCAGTTCAGCAAAAATCCGTGTCAGTTGTGTGCTTATTGAGGGGAAACGGCCACGACCGGACAGGTCAGCTCACATGTGACCTGAAAGCCTGAAAGCCTACTCTCCCTGGGCGCCGTCTGGGGCACTGAACAGGAGTCTTTCCTGCTCGAGACCTTGACTGGTGAGTTGGAGGAGAACCAGGCAAACCGCTGCGTTGCACTGCAAACTGCATGGTAGGGTGTCAGCGACCACGAACCCTCTTAGGCCACCTTTCAAAGCCCTAGAAAGGCCCTCGAATCCCAAAAAAACCCTCTACATCCTTATGGCCTTCGGGTGCGCGGGTCATCATCCCAGTATCCTGCTTCCTTGATTTTCGGCCGTCATCAGGGGATGCCTGAATACGCTGCAGCCATGGGGATGCAATAGCTCTACGTAGCACCGACTCATCCATCGCAGCTCTCAGCGTGCTAGCAACAAGCATGTCGTGTAATGGCACCGGGACAAACATTTGCGCCGGATGGCTATACTACACAATCTAAACAAGGAGAATGAGCAGCATCAATATTCTGCCCGTGTCCGGAAACTTGCCGAGTGAAAGGCCACTGCAACAGCAAAGCAACAGCACTGCAAAGTACGGTACACAAGTCTGAAGAAAGCATGGCAATCATGAGCACCTAAAATGAGATTGCGAGGAGAAGCGCAGTGCAGACGAATGCCGTCTTCGAAGTTCGTAGCCTGCCACAAGAGCATGAACTGTCCTCACCTCTGCTGGCCAGGAGATCTTGCCATGCATGCAAACATGTTTGTTGTTGCTCGTTCTTGTTTTTTGTAGCAACGGGCTTTCCGAGAATGATCGTTTCCCTTCAAAAGTCCGCCAAAATCCGTGCTGAAGGCTTAAGGCAGGATGCATGCAACGTAGGAAACCCCTCATCCAGAACAGACATCTTGGTGTGTGATCGTGCGCGTGTGGCCAGATACCCGATGTGGTGTTCCTGTCTGAGCAGGAGTGTGGAGCCCAAGGGTTAGTTTGGGCAGTGTCACAAGACCAGTGGAGCTGTACCTGAGGCTGCGCACACTTGTTTGGATCTTGGTATGCATGGTTCTGTCGCTCGTGCGAGAGCACAAAAGTAGCATGGAAACACTAGACACCGCTTCAGGATATCATTCAAGGATCGCCTGCGATTGCGGCACCATTTTGTGAAGTCTCGTTTGCATGTGCCTTCATTGGGTCGGCACTTCAACTTTGCACTGGTACTATACGGGTCGGAATAATTACTAATAGTATCGTTCCCTTACGGTCTCTTTATTGTACTATAATCACCCCCGAAACCCTATTCTTATGATTAAGGCCCCGATACTTTCCCGTATACTTCCGTTTGGGAGTCGTCAGGTAACCCGAACCCAAACCCAAACCCGAACGCTAACCCTAACCCTAACCCTTTCATGGCGGACCTGACAAGCCCCTGGGGAGCAATCAGATGCTCTTAGGTATGATGAGGATCTGCGGAGCTTTGTGGACTACGAGTCCGTGGCCTACGGGAGAGCACAGAATGGCTTGGGGTTTAGGGTGTAGGGTTTAGGGTCAGGGTTAGGGTTTAGGGTTTAGCGTTTAGGGTTTAGGGTTTAAGGTTTAGGGTTATGCAGTTGCACTTGAGATCCCACGAGGAGTGGTTTTAGAGGCCGAAAGGCGCTTGTGTGATGAGTATTAGCTTTAAGGGGTTCATAGATGAAGGGTTAGGGGTTAAAGGTTTATGGTTTAGGGTTTATGGATAGCGTTTAGGGTTTAGGGTTTAGGGTTTAGGGTTTCATAGGTCGGTTTGGGTTGAGGGTTCAGGGCATGGGGCAGACGCAAAGACATGCTCCTTTGCTGCTAGGCTCGCGTCGTCGCTGGCCGCCAAGGTGTTCTTTCTGCTGCACTCTCAGGTTCTTCTTGAATAGGGCTTAGGGTTTAGGGTTTAGGGCTTAGGGTTTAGGGTTTTGGGGTTCAGGGCTCAGGGTCTAGGGTACCAGAGAGCCAGAACCCCTAAACCCTAGCATTACAGGTCTTTTGGGTGCCCCTCAGCCCTACATCCTACACATTCAGCCTTTCTTGAAACACTCGGCCGTCAGTTCCAGTAGTCTGGTGCGAAGAACCCGAAACCCCAACCTAGTGGGCCTTATCATGTCTTCTCCGGAGGCCTTACTGCAGTTTTAGTTAGTCTTTATCAAAATATCGTGGGGACATGACTCTCTACCATCTTGCAACTACCTGTGTAGTTTGGGTAGATGGGGCCTTCAGGGCTCCCCGAACCCTAAACCCCAGCCAAGAGGGGTGCTCCCGTCAAGAATACCAGGTTGAATGTTTGGGGTCCGGGTTATCGAGCCTCCACATCCGACACCCTCAACCCTAAACTGCACGCCTTGAACTTGAGGTTCTGTCAGCATGTCCTACAAGCCCTGGAACCCTGAAAAGTCAAAAGCCCTAGAACCTTGGACCATGAGGCGGGGGTCCGTCATGCCCGGCACTCGGTGGGAAAGGGCAGTGACCAACACACTCATCGCCAGTGGCTGAGGGCCCATGTTGCGCTTCAGGGCCCGAAGCCTTACGTAAGACATCTAGGGTGCTGGGTTTGTGGTTTAGGGCGTTGGGTTTAGGGGTTTGGGGTTTAGTTAGGGTTTAGGGTTTTTGTTGCTGGTTCTCCAAGAACCCTACAGGGAGTTTCCAAAAAAGGCGCTTGCGTCACTGAATTCGATGCATCCCAGCAGCCCGAAGACCGACCCCCTAGACCTCCCTCAGGGATTTAGGGTTTAGGGTTTAAAGTTTAGGGTTTAGGGTTTAGGGTTTAGGGTTTAGGGTTTAGGTACGGTCCTAAAGTAACAAGTTCTAGGCTCAAGGCCTCATGTCCTAGAAACGCAAGCTCGTAAGTCTCAAAACCCTGAAGAGCCCTAATCCCACCTGCGCTCTGGTGCCCCAGTTTTCCTCTAACATTAAGTTTCCCAGGGTTTAGGGTTTTGGGATTTGGGTTCAAGGTTCAGGGTTCAGGGTTCAGGGTTCAGGGTTCAGGGTTACTAGCACTGGGAGCAACCTTGAAACGTACACCCAACCCCCCCCTTCGCCCCCCAGTTTAGGTTTCGAGTTCAGGGTTTAGGGTTTGGGGTTCAAGGCTTACTAAGTCTAAGGTTCAAGGTGTATGAAGTTTAGGGACCAGGGCTGTCGTTCTTTGCCTGGGTATTTTCAGGGGTTGCTCTTCGGGACGTCATTAAGCTTAAAAGCTCATTCTCTGAGGAACCTGAGAGACCTGGAGCGGGTGATGGTGGAGTCCGCCGTGATCTGCCTAGTCCTGCCGGATCGCCGGGCGCCAAGCAAAAATTCAAGCGCGAGGGCTGCTCCCACCTCCCCAGGTGTAGAAAGTCAGGCTCTGCACAACGGTCGGCGCAGAAATCTGTATGTTGACACCTAGGCCCTAAACCCTAAACGAGCGACTGCTATGCATGCACTTGGCCCTGCATGGGTTACAAAACCCTTGAGTGAAACACCGCGCTCTAAGGCTTAGGCCGATTGATTCCGCAAAGCTCATGAATTTCAATCCCATTCTCAGCGGTTCCAGTGTCGGGCTGCAGGCAGATGTCCACTGAAATGCCTCAGCCAGAGCTAGGGAGCCCAAAGCCCTCAACTCCCCCAACCTAAAGCCCTCACCTTGTGTTCGGGAGCCAGGGGGCCTGGAGCAAAGTTCACCTGTGTTCTGTCATCGTCACGGGAAGACTCAACCCCAAAACTTGGATCCAGCTTCAAGCGCGTTCATGCGAAACAAAACAACCTAAACGACTTGGATGGAAGGCAGCATGCCCCGAGAGCTCAAGAATTGGGCAGAAGAGGCTCCAAGTACAGAATAGGCTATACTGCACCTTATAACACGAAAGAAGATTCCATCCATAGTTTATAAAGGCGTAAGTCCGAATCTGAGCGTTGTCGGACATGGGTTCTCTGCATGCAGCTCCCATGAAAGCCTGTCGGCTTAGGGTTTTACGTTTTAATCGGCGAACCTTGGGATGTTCCCGCATGTACTAGCAGTGCTTAATAATTTAATAGGGGTTATAGTACCCTAAACCCTACACCCTACACCCTACAACCTACACCCTAAACCCTAAACCCTAAACCCCCCCTGTTAGAGTACTGACCCTAATTTGTCAACAGGCGGCCCAAGATCCCTCCTTCCGGCACCCGAGGCCCTAAACCCTCCTTCGGCGGGCATAGGTCTTGCGACTTCGGGTTGGGGGGGCAGCGCTCTTTTGTCTGCTTAGAGTTTGTACTATGATTTTTCTTCGTCAGAATCATCATCCTCATCATCATCATCATCATCATCATCATCACGATCTTCTTTCATGTTGTTTTTGATGCGCAACTTACACAGTCAAGCTTGAGGAAAAAGCACGGTGAGCTGTTCATGGTGCATGTACGGGTTGCCTTAGGTAAGATTACCAGCGAAAGCTCCCGCGCTCAGTTGACACGGAGAGCCCCCAGACGGAGGACCAGTTGGGAAGACTTGCGTGCACCTTGGTTTGGGGTTTAGGTTTAGGGTTTAGGGTTTAGGGTTTAGGGTTTAGGGTGAAGGTATAGGATTTAGGGTTTAGGGTTTAAGGCCCCGAAGCCCCTGCCTAACCCAGACCCAAAGCCGCAAATTCCGGTCCTCCGGCACCTGCTAGGATTCCATTAGCGTGATGATGGCTATGACCATGACCCGCCACTTCCCAGGCCGGATACTCCCTGGGATGTACTTGGGGGTTGATGCAAATTCCTCAGGTCCTTCTTTGGAATTGATTTAGGGAACCTATGGGTTTATGAGGAAAGGGGGAGCAGGCATCTTGATCAACTACCACGAATGCATGTGCCAAGGGTCAGGGAGACGTACAATAAACTCCAAAAAGTTGGAACATGGCTTAAGGATGATTAGAGCTGGGATTCCCTTTAGTATACCTTTTGGGGTATGGGGATTAGGATGTTCCAACTGCTGGAGTTTACTGTGCTCGGCGGTGCACCATTGGGAAGACATGATGCTCTCGTCATTGCCGATCGACAGAAGGGCCGTGTGCTTCGCGCTCTTCAGCCTGAATTCTTTCGAAGCCTAAGCCGGCATTATTCCTGGACATCTTGAATCCCTGAATACTTCTCAAACCCTGAACCCCAAACTCTACAACCCTACAACCCTACAACCCCAAACCGCAAAAACCCCAAACCCCCAAGCCTATACCCCCAAATCCCAAACTTGATGATCATGGTCTGCGACTTCAAGGTCGCGTCAGGCCCTCCGCTTGTGGATGTTATTTGTTTGTGGGGTTCCCCCCCCCCTCCTCCCTCTCTCCCTAAAAAACCAGAAGCAAGACGGCACCCCTTAAGAAAACAACAACAATAAGGCACAATAACGACCCTTATATAGGTATGTTTGCAGGGCTTCGGGCTTATGGGGTTTATAACTTGCAGTAGGGTTTAGGGCCTATAGGTCATAAGGCGCATGTCTAGTCTAGTCTATCTCTGCAGGCTTGCGCCTACGCATTATGCTGCTCGAGCCAGAAGGCAGGGTTTGGGGACCGAAAATTGAGAACAAGCATGCCAAATACTTCAAATGCCCCCTACACATTCTCAATGACTCAGGACCTCCCGCAAGAACCCCTTAAGTAAGGAGTATATGCGTTGGCTTATTCATAGTCAGGGCTTAAGGCGAATCATGGGTATCAGTATTGGGTTCGGATACTATACCACGTACCAGCCGGCCCTGCCAGAGCCTTATGGGTATTTCGTGGTATTCAGTAGGTACCATGACAGCCTTGTACAGCTTTGAAGCCGCAAGCTGCTGTTCAAACCCCACCAGCCCTACTCAATACCATAAGCAAAGCACATGAGCGGTTCTTCTACATTAGGGTGCCCTCACTGCTACGCCCTACATACTGACACTTCGAAACCGGATCACTGAAGGGGCCCCCCCCGCAACCTAAAGAGAATACAACTTACACTGTATATCTTCTCAATATTCCTTCGGAAATGCCAATTGGGGTCTCCGGGTAGGATTTCAGTTTTCGGATCCCCTCCTCCCCAGGCGCAAAGAATGCGGCCTTGCTCAGCATAGCTTTCCCGCGATGCTTCTCAGCGCACGAGTGGCTTGGCTTCATGGGCTTCAATCTAAACGATGATGGAGGTTGGTCTAATAAGACTTGCACTCTAAAAGTCTTCTTTCAGCATTACTAGCTGAGGCCAATAGGGTCCCATGATTTAGAGGAAGCCCCAAGTGCAAAGTCGGCATTCTCCTCCTCCCGCTCCTCCAAGAACTTTTTGTGTCATGCAGCATGCCGGTACTTTATAGGCCTGTGTGTGGTCTCGCGTGTCACCATCGCCAGTAAGGATGAAGTGTGCCATCTTTGCCAAGAGCACGCACGTTGCTGGCCTGGTGACATTTCTCAGCGGGCTGATGCAGGCTGAGCGGTGTGTGTGTGTGTGTGAGAGAAAAAATGTATATATATATATATATATATATGTATAGATATTTATGGGTGTGTGTGCGTGTTGTACTTCTGCATACGGACACGAGTCTGAGAGCTGCACTCCGTATCAGTTGTTGCTCCTTTTGATTGCCATGGCGGCTAGTGCAGCGTGCTGCTTGATCATTAACCCCCCCCCCCCCCCCCCCCCCCCCCCCCCCATCCCGAAATACCCTTTGATTATTGCAAAGAGA